ATATATATATATTTATATATATATATGAGTTATATTTTATTTTGTGTTGCTTTAGATATCCCGAATAACTCATTAGGTTAGAGACCAATTCTACTTACAATATTGAGATTAATATTGAGATTATTATTGGTTTAACGAATGTAAAAATCAAACACAAGTTTCTTATTAAATATATCATCCCTACAAAGTGTAGACACAAAATATTCAACCACTGTACCAACCCATTGTGTTTTTATATTTGTATTAATATATGCAATATTTGTATTAATGTACAAATTGAAATCTTATATCCATGAGTTATCTTATATGCATATACAAATTGAAATTGATTATTTACAATTGCGTTAAACATATTTTAATGGAAAGTTACAATGCACAACATTTTCAAAATTTTAAAAAATAAATAAATTATTTGGATAGAAAATTTGTATTTTAATAAAAAAAATTGACAAAAGGGTACGATTCACAACATTTTAGACAAATTTTTTAAAAAAATAATTGAGAGCAAAATTCGCCACAATGTCAAAATATGAGCACACAAAATGAATGAATAGTTGTTAAAGTTACTCTGATTTATAGGTCTGATTACCTATGCACTCTATTCAAAGCATTATTTTGTAATTGAAGGTCCATTTAGGAGATACACTTTGAAACAGTATGAATACAAGCGTGGTCTAAATGAAATTTTAGGCAGGAACACCAACTTCATTTATTGTGACCAAAGAAACCTCATCCAACGGTTCATACAGGAAAACAATAAGCAATAAGCAATCAATGTAGAATGCATGCATGGAGGATAAATAGAGGAAAAACATATATGGCATAAGGTTAGTTAATTATGCAGGTATTGGAAAAACGGTTCTTGAAATGTTGAATTAGAATGGAAGTGATGTTTCCGAAATGAAAAGCAAAAGCCATTAAAGTCTCTTCTCGCTCCACGTACGTTGCGTAGAAGCAATAAGTAATTAAGTCAGTAACTCCCTCCCTATAAAAACCCCACAACACAAGCATCACTTCGATAACAAAATGAGTGAAAAAACCATGACAACCTCCTCCACCTCTAAATCCACCAACATGTCGGCAAAAACATTCTCCGGAGTGGGAAACCTCATCAAACTTCTCCCAACCGGAACCGTCTTCCTGTTCCAGTTCCTAATCCCAATCGTCACCAACACCGGACACTGCACCACCTTCAACAAGTACCTAACCGCCGCCTTCCTCCTCCTCTGCGCCTTCAACTGCGCCTTCGCCTCCTTCACCGACAGCTACACCGGCACCGACGGCGACCGCCACTACGCCCTCGTCACCGCCAAGGGCCTCTGGCCCTCGCCGGCGTCGGAGTCCGTGGACCTCTCCGCCTACAAGCTCCGCTTTGGGGACTTCGTGCACGCCTTCTTTTCCTTGCTGGTGTTCGCTGTGCTGGGACTACTCGACACCAACACGGTGCATTGCTTCTACCCGGAGTTTGAGGCCGGCGAGAAGATTCTGTTGCAGGTGCTGCCACCGGTCATTGGGGCTGTTGCTAGCACTGTGTTCGTTGTGTTCCCTAATAATCGCCATGGAATTGGTTACCCTATCTCCTCTGATTCCAACAAGACTCCCACATAAATAACATCTCATTCTCATATTCCATGTTTATATCTTATTCTTAAATAACATCTTCCTTTTATTTTTATCAAATTTACATTAGATGTACAGCTTCTTTTCTTGCTCCTCCCCGTCCGACTAAATACATCAAAATCTTGTTAATATTTATTATTTTTCTATTTATTTATATGTATTACATCATATTACATATATATATAT